TTGCACCATTTTGCCCTGATCTTCTATCCATTCAGTAAGATTCAAATCTGAGCAATCACAGGGCCAGTGCTGGTAACAGTGGAAAGGAGACCTAACAAGGCAGTGGCTGTCCCTCTGTTTTCACAGAGTCCGTGTGACATGAGAGATGTTTACAAGGCCACGGATGAGGTGTCCTGGTAGGTTTACAGCTGGGCACACATCCAGGGCCTGACACCAGCTGAGTGACCCGGGGCACCTGCGTCTCTCCCGTCCAAGGCTGGCTAGACGGGGCTGTGAGAGGAAGTGAGGCAGGTGTGGCCGCACCTGAAAGAGGCCAGCAGTGGCTCCTCCCCCTCGGGTTGCAGTTTCTCATCCTTAGCCACGTGTGCTCTGGTTCCCTGACTCTCAGAGAGGATCCTCTTTATTGCCCTCAGACTCAGTCAGCTCGAGCTGCCACACCAAATGCCAGAGGCTGAGAGGCTTAAACAGCAGGTATGTGTTTCTTATGTCTCAGTGACGTAGCTGCCTTCTCACTGTGGCCTCGCCTGGCCTTTCCTCAATGGGAGTGGGAGTGGCTGAGAGAGAGGTCACTTCCTCTTCTCAGGAGGCCGCTAATCCCATCATGAGGGCCTCACCCTCATGCCTCCATCTAACCCTGATACCTCCCAAAGGCTTCATCTCATTGGGGGGCTAGAGCCTCAGCATCGGCATTTTGGGGGACACTACAGTCCATGGCGATGTCTTGAGCAGGCTGATGCCTGCATCTCTGTGACACTCTGCTTGTGCTGATAGTCGATGGGTGGCGGTGTGGAGAGAGGAGAGGCAGGTGGCTCTGGTGGGGCGGGCACAGAGGACTTGAGGACTTGAACGCTGGTTCTGAGGGAGGACTTCGGCAGCTCTGGGTCAGCCCAGGTCCTCTGGGGTCCCTCCGGGCTCATGTGTTTCAGAGGGAGATCAGGGCGGCAATAGTGAGCCAACAAGCCTGGGTGAGGCCTCGAGATGGCACAGCCTGTTCTCTCAGACTTCGGGAAGGTGACCCTGGGCACAGAGTGTGGGTAACAGAAACAATCCACAGACGGGGCACACCTGGGTTCGCATGTTGGCTTATACACAGCATTTCCTCTGCGTTAGGCCCTGCTTAGCACTTTGTAACGTTCTTATGCAGTGATGTGTCAGGCTCAGGCAGAGAAGCAGCACCTCTCAGGGGAACCACACCGGATGTGGCTGCAGGGGTGGGACCTTACAGGGAGGGGGGCTGCAGAAGGGCCCCTGCTGGCTGCCGCCCCGGAATCTGGGCCTGAAGGCGGCAGGGCTGCCTGGAAGCAAGGAAACGTGGGTAATGAGGGGAGCAGAGCAATGGCAGCCTGATTCCCTGAAGATGGACTAGAGCCCCATCTGACCTCATCATCTCCACTTTGACGCCATGGGTGGCTCAGGGCACAGAGACGCTGGAGGGGTCCAGCAGGGGCAGGGCGTGCTGGGCTGGCCGCCACCCTCCCTCGAGTCTAAGCGGAGCCAGTGGGTCAGCAGCACATGCGTGGCTGCAGCAGCACCTGGCGCCCTGCACCTGCCCCCAGGGACTAGGGGCCAGCACTTCACTTCTGCCTTCCACACAGATGTCTCTGGGGCCAAGTGGGACTCAGAGCCACGGAGGATGGGAATTCTGGGAAACGTAGTTCCTGCTGATTGCTGGGGACACAGTGCATAGCCACCAGGGGTGGGAGGTCTGCTCTTTGCTCCATCTGACAGTGGAGGAGAGAGGGGAGGCTCAGGGCGTGCCCAGTCACACAGATGTTCAGGGGGCTCCGGTTCCAGCACCTTTAGCTGCTCCCGGTGCTTCTGCTCTGTGACGCCAGTAACCCGCCCCCTGTTCCTCCAGAAACCCACCTCAGAGCCCTGGGCCGTGAGAGCTTCTTGAAGATGAAGCTTCTGGGGAAGGACGGGTCCCACACGCCTTCTCTCTTGATCAGCCACTCCGGTCCCAGCCGTAGCCTCTGCCCTTTCTGTACGTTCCCGGGCCTGCTTTGTCCTCCCTACTGAGTTCCCTGTGTTCCTCCTGTAGGAATGTCACCTACTTAGTCCGGGGCTGACCGTCAGCACCTAGTGGGCTGTTTGGTGGAAGAAGTTAGTGCCTGGCTCATGTGTTGGGCCGTTGATGACAATTGCTACCTGTTGCACATCAGCTCTTGCCAGGGCTGTGGGTATCACACTGCCATTTACGGGAAAGAGAATTGGGACTTGAGAGCTTGGGTTTGTTTCCGTAGCGAGTGATGGGTTGTAGACTTGAACAGGGGCCCGCTGGCTCACCACTGCCCTTGGTCACCGACCCACAGACAGCACAGCTTCCTGCGTTAGCAGACCCAGGAGAGGACGGCCGGGGCCACGGGGGCTCTCTGAGCTGCTTCGGGGCGGGGACCAACCCAGTGCCCTGGTCCAGATGGGGTGAACACAGACTGTACCCACCTCTGGACATTGAGGGACGAGGGCTTTGCAAACCGAGTGAGTGAACGGTGAGCAGAGTCGGGACTCAGCCTGCGAATTTGGGGGCTCAGAGTGCTTAGTTGAATGCCTCGGTCTCCCAACTTACGCTTCCTGAATCACATGGCCACCTGGGTCTGCGGATTTGTGACTCCCTCACAATGCCCACACGGCTTCCTGTGGCTGCGCCGTGGTCTCCCCGAGTCTGCGCAGTGCCTGCACAAAGGGAGTTTGATTTGGGGCCCTCCCACATGGCCCCGCTCTGTCACCTCGTGCACAGCAGGGACTTGGGACCTGCCAGGAGGCCAGGCTTGGCACAGTCCTTACTGATAATTTGAGGAGGCGCAACTTCAGAAAGGTGACTATTCAAAAAACTTTACAATTTGAATAATTTTAGATTTATAGAAGTTACTAGACATTACAGAGTTCCCGTACACCCTCCATCCAGCCTCCCCTAAGGTTTAACCTCTCACATAGACAGCCAGGGTACCTTTACCCAACCAGGAGACTGCCACACTGTGAACAAGATCCTGACTGTCTGGTGCCGCAGCTTTTCCAATTAATGAGCTGTTCCCTCCCAGGATCCAGCCCAGGACACCAGGTGGCCTTGGTTCTCACATCACCTTGGTCTCCAATCTGTGACAGTTCCTCGGTGGTTCCTTGTCTTTCATGTCCTGGACATGTGTCAGAAGTAGTACTGTACTCAGATATTTTGTAGACTGTCCCTGGACATGGGTTTGTTTAATGTTTTTTTTTTTTTTCACAATTAAGCTGAGGTTCTGGACTTTTTAGGTAGAACACAAAGAGATGTTCTGTCCACATCATATCAGGAGGCACGTGGTGTCAGCATAATTTATGAATGGTCATTTTAATCTTGATCACTTGCTGGGCTCTCCACTGTAAAGTTACTGTCTTTCCCTTTCCATACCTTATTGGTTAGATACCAGTCACGAGTCCAGCCCACACTCAGGGGAGGGGGAAGTTAACTTGTGCCTCCCAGAGGAAGGAGTTGCAAACGACTGTGGATGTATGTTGAAGCCAACCACCCCTGCCCTGGCCAGTGTGGCTCACTTAGTTGAACATTGTCCTGTGCACCGAAGGGTTGCTGGTTTGATTCCTGGTTGGGGCACATACCCAGGTTTTGGGCTTGATCTCCTGTCAGGATGTGTGCAAGAGGCAGCCAGTCCATATTTCGCTCTCATCTCTCTCTCTCTCTCTCTCTCTCTCTCTCTCTCTCTCTCTCTCTCTCTCTCTCCCTCTCTCTCCCTCCCTCCCTCCCTCCCTCCCTCTCCCTCTCCCCCCCTTCCTCCTTCCCTCTCTCTCTCTCTCAAGTCAATAAAAACATATTTTTTAAAAACCCACCAACCACCATTGACCAGGATTGGGGGGATGCTTTGGCGTCATGCAGATATCCTGTTTCCAGTGAGGTGATTTTTTCTAATGACTTTGTTCAGTTTTGAACTCAGGGAAGCAGGCTGTCATCCCTCTTCCCAACTTTCTGTCACCAGGTTAGTGAATTTGAATAATAAAATGCTTAAGAAATCCAATTTCCTTGCATATATGTGATGCTCTATTAGATTTCTGCTGGCAGTTGCATTTTAATATCGGAGAATCTGGAGGCTGTGTCTCCTGGGAGGGAGCACGGAGCCTGAAGCCAGAGCCTCAGGCCTGAGGTCAGGAGACGGGGTGCTCTCTTTTGCATGTGACTCACTCGCTTGCTTGCGAAGGTAACAGCTTATAGGAAGTGCTAAGATTGCGTCAGTAGCAGACTGTATTTTTAGATGCCCCTTTTTCACACCTTGAAGGCTGTAGTTGAACTTCTAATCATCTGTGAATTTAAGGGAGGAATATGGTTATAAGTTGCTGCACTGATACTTGGCCCTGTGGCTAATTTCATTGGCTCTGTGCTGAAGTGTTCTTAGGCCACTGGTATACTTTCATGCTCCAAAATTCTTAACTACTGCTTTTTAAATTCTCTATGAAAAACTCTAAACAGAAGGCACTGTTTTTAATATTCTAACCAACTCTGTTACTGATCAGTGATTGCCAGTCATTTCGGCAGAGTAGTGCAAAGGGGAATCTCCTATAGGAAAAGAAGCACCTGATGGTTCTAAGGAAATATAAGTCCGGGGCATCTGGTTTTGATCATCTTTTCCAGTTCCCAGGGACACGGTAACGAAGGTATGAAAACAAGCAACGTAGCCGCCTCCTAGTGGCAGCACACACAACTGACTATTTGTCCTGGGAACCAAGCTGATGCCTGCGGTTCTCAACCTGTGGGTTGCGACCCCTTTGGCGGTCAAACAACCCTTTCACAGGGGTTGCCTACGACCATCTTGCATATCAGATATTTACATTACGATTCATAACAGTAGCAACATTACAGTTAAGAAGTAGCAACGAAAATAATTTTATGGTTGGGTCACAACATGAGGAACTGTATTTAAAGGGCCAGAAGCTTGAGAACCACTGCTAAGGCAAGTGGTTTGCAGATGGTTTGTTCTAGCGGGTGAACTGCTGAAATCTGGACCTTTCTCTTCTAGGATGACTTCCTGTTCAGCGTCTCCATTTTGAGTGGGATCCTCTGCAGCACGCTGGCCGTGCTGAAGTTTATGCTGGGGAAGGTCCTGACCAGCAGAGCACTCATAACCGACGGTGAGTGGGGCCAGCGCCTGACCTCCCAGGCCGGGGGCGCAGGGCGGGTCGCCTTTAGTTGCTGGTCTTGCAGAAAAGGTCACCAGTTGGGAATCGGGTCTCACTAGCCTCGCCTCCTCAGGCGGTTTAATGATTCTCAGGGCTCCCTATTGGGGCAGATGGCTTGTGCCCTGGGACTGTAATAAATTCTTCAGGAATCACCTCAGCCCTGACCCCCCAACAGGGTGGATGGGGGCTCCCTAGCGTCTTATCACGAAGCACAAAGGGCTTCCAGAGTCTCGGGCTTTATGTGCATTGCTCCAGTGAAGGTCTCTTCTGCAATCTAGACAGGTTTTCTTTGTGGATTCTCATACTTATTCCCCCTCCAGCCGTGAGATGCTCACCTAGCTGGGAGTTCAAGGTGCAGGAACCAGGGCTCTGCTGGGGAAGTGATCCGCTGAGAACCCAGACCAGGTGGAGGGTACCTGTGCTCCTAGGGGCCAGGGGGCACTTCCTGCATGGCCTTTGGGATGACAGAGAAGGGTGTGTGAAACCAGGAAAAATGCATTTCAGTTTGTGAACTAGTGCTGGTGTATAAACAAGAAACTTTACGAACTAACCACCTGGCCATGTTCTTTTTCTCCATTCTTGAGCATGTGTAGTTGCCAGGGGGTCAGGAGTTCATGAGCCTCTGTACCCTGAGGTGAGAGGTCAAAGGGTAAAAGCTTGTGGGGTTGGTGTGTGTGTCTGCACAAAATAGAGAAGAAATCACTGAATTTCTTTTTTTAAGAAAAGAACCACTCACACACACACCTACCCCCAACTCCGAGGTGCTCTCCTCTGTGGAATACGGGAGAGCAGGCGGGTGTGTGTGGGTGGCTGTTGGTTCTGCTGTGCAGGGGGTGAATGGCAGTGCAGAGGGCCCTTCTCCCCCAAATGACAAAGCCTGGTACACTATGTGGACTTCGACTCCTTGTCCCTTGTTGATGCCCTACTGTGTATATGGAGGTGGGCCTTTGCACAGTAGGGCTGGTGGGTAGGAAGTCAAAGTGGTATTTCCAGCTTTGCAATGACAGCTGCCCTGGGAGCATCTGTGTGTGTGTGTGTGTGTGTGTGTGTGTGTGTGTGTGTGTGTATGTGTGTATGTGTATGTGGTTCATTCGAACAGACCCAGGGAAATTGGGGCTTTACATGATCCGATGTGCTGACTGCAAGGCCAGGGGACCCTGGATGCTAGTCAGGTGACCACAGCCACTGGCAGCATCAGAATTGCCTATGGTGTTGGTTAGATGCAGATTCCCGGGCCTGAGGTGGGTCCTGTCCATGTGATGAGCACAGGTTTGTGCTGCCTTCACACCAGCCTGGGAGCCAGGACACACGCCACACCAGGGAAGGTGGACCTGGCAGGGTCCCCCTGCCATTTTGACCAGCAGGGCCTGCCGTCTGCATCTGCCCTTGCAAGATACCACCTTCCTCCCTGTGCTATGGAAGCCACATGCCCATAGCAAACCCAAACTTTTTAAGTAGTAAGAGCTGTTTAAAATAGTGAAAAGACCGGCGTCGGGGAGCGAGGCCTCTGCGTCCCTGCTCTGCTCTCAGGCAGCGTGCAGGCCCCTCTGTGTGGGCCAGGCGGCCAGCCCGGCTCCTGGAGCTCCCCATGGGCCCCCGAGGGTGCTCCCCAAAGGGCAGGCCCAGGGAAGCCAGGACTCAGCTGGCAGCAGGTCCTGGGTTTGTGCTGTTAGAGCGGATAGCGCAGGAGCACCGACCGGCGGGCTCTGCAGAGTTCTTTTGAGCCTGGTGCTGCGCTGGTGCCACGTTAGCTGGGAAGCCGCTCCTGATGCAGAACCAGGGTTTCCTCTCTAGGGTCTGTCCTGTTGCTAGGAAGGGTCCTGCCTGGTCCCCAAAGGGGAGCTGCACTTAGTTAAATCAAGCCCCTCTGGTGTGCAGAGCTGCGGCTCAGTCCCTGAGAAGCATGCAGCCTTCTGAGAAGACCTCTGCGGAGGCTCTGCCGCCCACCCCGCAGCCGGGCCTGTGGGCAGCTTGCATCCGGCTGACCCTGGGAAAGGTGCTCGTTCCTCTCCGGGCGGCCCAGCTTGTGGGGAGAAGTGCTCATCCCTGTGATTGTGTGGTCTGGAGTTTCAGAATCAGGGCAGGAACATGCCTCCTCCATGGAGTCCTCCTCTCCCCGGGGCTGACCAGCGCAGGGGGCTTGTGCCGAGAGCTCAGGGCTGCATGCTATGAATGGGCGTTCGGTGTGGGGGTCTGGCCACCTTCAAGGTTCCTTCCCGTTGCTGCGGGGGACACTCCGTCCGGCCCTTTAGAGCAGAGGCCTGGCTGTACCTTGGTTTCTCCAGCATGTGTTGTATGCCTCCTTCTCATGTGTCTTTGCCTGGAACGTGGGTGACGGGATGGGGAGGGCAGGCCAGGGGTGAGCACTGAGAAATAGCTCCTCTCCCAGTCGCCTTGGGCCCTAACATCACGAAGCCCTTGTGGCTTGCAGGGTCTCAGCATCTTATCTGACCAGACACACAAGTGCTCTCCAGGAGCCCAAGGGTGGACCCAGCAGTCAGACCCTCCCACCCATGACCGTGGGCTGACCGTCTCGGACGGGTGCTCTATCACGTGTGATAGCAATCCCAGACAGGGTCTGTTTAGGCTTCACTCCCCTTTGAACTCACCACATTTCATAGGGCGCACAGAGAAGACCCCAATGACAAGTATGATTTTTCTAACAAAATAACTTCTGACCAGAATTTTCAGACATAAGCAGTATTTCCATCATATTCTTGAACAGAGAGGTGTCATTACAAAGTAGATGTTTAAGTGAAAATTGTTCCCTAAACAGGAAGGCAGGGAAGAGCGCTCCCCCAGGCAGAGGGCATGGGGGCGGGGCCTGGGACCCCTGGGGGGCTGCGGGAGGAGGGGGCACAGGGTGAGGGCTGGGACAGTGGGGAAGGGCAGGTCCTGCTGGACTGTAGGTCAAGTATAGGATCCTGTGTGTTTTGCTAAATATTTAAACGGATGAGGAGACATGCTTTTTGTTTTCTAAACAGTCCTCTGGCCATCAGATGGGGAACAGAGTGGGGCAGTGAGTGCCAAGCAGGAGAGGTCTGGGGAGCTGAGGGTGGTGGCCTGGGGGCTTGGGCAGCTGTGAGGGCAGGGGGCTGAGGGTGTAGGGGGTCAACAACGCATGGCAAATGGACAGGGCTCAGGGATGAATGGGCCATGGGGGTTGATGACAGAGTGAGAGAAAGACAGACAGATACAGACAGAGAGAACTCTGGTGAAGGGCAAAGCCTGTTACCCACGAGGGGCTGGGGCGGTGGGTGGTGTGCACTGCAGTTCCTTGCTTGGTGGGAGTGTCAGCAAAATATGCAGTGGTAATTGCAGCCTCCTGCTAATTGTATTTTACTCATTTGTTGAGTAGCAGAGCTAGGGAACCATCTGTAATCGTCTCCTCTTTGGGAGGTGGGAGAGGGTGGGGTCTGGGAGCCGTGCCTCTCATTAATGTTGGGGTTTCTGAGAGGCTGGCTCTGCGGGCCTCCACCTGTGCCCAATGCCCTGGGAATGTCCTCTGTGGTGTGGCCTTCTCTCCCCACAAAGTGCTTCGGTGCAGGCGGGAGGGCGGGCCTCGCTGTCACCCGGTGAGTGGCTGGTCCCCATGCTGGAGCTGTATGTGAGCTGGGTCAGGCTGGCTGCACCGGATCCTGTATGCTGGGCTGTGTCCTCACCACAGCAGGTCTTCAGAGAACGTGGACACCAGGGTGTGGTAAACTGCAGACTTCCCACCCTGTGCTGTGCAGTACAGCACAGCGTAGCGCATCTTGTCCATTAGACCGTGTTCCTTTAGTTGTTTAGACAACATGCGATTGCTGCAATCAGCATGACGCTGGAGGCAGCTTTGTGTTGTCGAAGCTAAAATGACTGGACAGTAAGTTATTGGGAAAGTCTGGCGGGAGGAGGAGGGGTTCTGAGGTGGGGCAGGAGCCCGGCTCCGGTGCTGCCGCTGGAAACCCGAGTTGAGGGCCCTGGGCTGACTCCCCTCGCTCCTTCTCATCTCTGAATACCAAGCGTCTACCATGGTGTTCAGCACATGAAACCTTGTCATCAGAATTCCTGCAAGAAGCTGATGTACTTAATTATACGGATTCTTACCTATCATTAAGGCCGGACTGGTGGAGCCCCTACTCAGCTTCTTAAAGGGATAACAGCCGTTATTCTTGACAACAGCCCGGGTTTTAACTGAGGAAGCAGAAAAGCGGTGGGCCTGGTGGGCGGGGACAGTGCCCAGAGAGTGACCAGCAGTGGAAAGGTGGGCGGTTTGGGGGTGGGGCTGCGAGCTCAGGTTCCTTGTGTGGAGTGACGGCAGCTGGAGTTTCTGAGGCTGTTGCAGGCAGACACGCGACCCTCCCAGTCTTGTGCGCCCGCTCCAGCGTGCCCTGCAGCCCTGTGTGAGGTGAGGTTGAACTGAGCCAGACTGTCATAGCCCAGGTGAGCAGAGCTGAGGAGGCAGGGCTCCTCCTGGAAGGTGGTGGTGAGCCAGGTGAACAGTGAATCCATCAGCTGTGAACTGTGGGCAGCACCCGGGGGTGGGAGCACGAATGGGGTGGGGCCCTGTGTCAGAATCAGGGGTCTGGCCTGTGCTTGGCTGGCAGAGCCCTGCCTTGGTGGAGCTGAGTGGACATCTAGTGGCCGTCTGGGGGAACCTCATGCTCTCTCTGCTTTCTGAGCTCCACTGGGCTTCTCCGAGGACGAGGACGCACGGGCCAACCTGTGCCCATGGCCCAGAGAGGGAGAGGGGCTGAAGGTTCCAGTCTGCCCGGGAAGCGGCCATCTCCTCCTTGTCTCCCCTTCTCTCTAGCCACCCAAAGCAAAACCTCCGCTCCCCTCTGCAGAGGTCAGCTGCAGCCCAGGTCACCTGTGACCGAGCACGGGCTCTGCTGATGCCTCTGGTGGCCTGTGGAGAGGAGATATGGGCCACAGAAACTTTTTTTTTAAAAAAGAACAGGATGATTCAAAGGACAACCAGAGGCTGTCCACTTCCCGTGGTCACTCTGGCTGCTGTGAGGGGAATGGATTGTGGGTTAAGGGAGATGTGGGCAGGAGGGGAGGCAGGGAAGGTGGTGAGGAGGCAGGGGTGCAGGCGAGGGCCGAGGGGGGCTTGGGCAAGGTTTGGGAGGTGGGGCTGGTGAGAGGTAGAGAGATGGAGAATGAGTTTAGGGGTAACAGTTGGCAAGGATTACTTGATGGATTAGATTTGGGGGGTGATTAGATTTGGGGAGTGACAGAAGTCAAGGGTGGGCTCCTAGATGTTTGTCTTGGCAGCTAGGTGAACGGTGGCATCATATACAGGGAAGATGAGGTGTTTTGAGCGGAAATTGAGGTTTTTGCTTTGAACATGTTCAGTTTGAAATGCTTATATGAGTCTGCAGCTGAGGGGACGGGCCAGGTCCAAGAGAGAAAGTTGGGAGACACGGACGTGTGAGATTGGAGGTGACAACCTCGGGGGGATGTAGACAGAGGAGCCCCGGGGACTGGCAGGGTGCTCAGACGGGAAGAGGACCTGGCGAAGGAGACTGAGAAGGAAGCGCTGGAGGGGAAAGAGGAAAGCCAGCAGAGTCATGGGGGCTGGAGGGAAGTGTTCCCGGGGGATGAGGCCAACCAGTTCACCACGCACATGGCAGCTCAGTTGTCACTGAGCTCAGGGAGGGCGTCGGGGGATGAAGAGAGAATAGGAGGTGCCGTTGGGCAGACAACTCTGCAAGTTTTGTAAAGGGGCTTGTGGTGCAGGTGGCGTGGGGTCAGGGAGGAGTTTGAGGTGGGTGATGGGAAGCTAAGATTTATCCCAGTAGGAATGTTTCAAAAGAGGGAGAAGAATTTCAAGAACAGAGTCCCTTGGTGAGCATGTAACCGGATGTGGGGCAGCCGTCATGGTGGGTGTGACTTGGTGTTGGGAAGATGAGGTATTGTTGTCCGGACATTTGTGCTCTAAGACGTGCAGGGCCGAGTCACCAGCTGAGCGTTGAAGTGAGAAGATGACAGACTTGAGGGAAGAGAAGAGGGTTGCAACAGCCAATGAGATGTCATTGCAGGGCCCAGCCAGGTTCATCTTGTTCCCATTGTCAAAGTCTCCACCTTGGACCTGAGAAGGCGTCTTACCCAGGCTTTGCTCAAGGCTTCTCTACGCCCACATCTTCCTTTCCCCCTGCTCTTCATTTAGCCTCTCCCCCAGCTGTACAGTCCCCAGTGAGTGCGGCCTGAGTTAACAATTTTGAGTCGGCAAAAACAACACAGGTGGAGTTGCCCCAGGAATGAGACAGGGCCTGCAGTTGGAGAGGTTGCTGACCCTGCACAGACCAGCTGCCAGGGGTCACCAGGCAGCATGGACCCAGAGCTTCTCCAGGACATTACACTGAGGCAGCCTGTGGCTCACACCACAGTACAGCCTCAGGAGCCCCTCTAAGCAATTCCCTTCCCATGGGGCCTTTGAAACTCACAGGTAACACGGAAGTGTGATACCTAAGTTGTGGGGACCCACTGAGGTGTGATATATGTGAAAGGAGATGATTAACATCTGTCAGCTCCAGTTCTGTTTGGATTGCCGTTTCTGCAACCATGCACCTAATTCTTGACTTTGCATTTTTCTTCCCAGAGAGTGAAAATCCTCAGGTGACTTAGACTCTGGAAGGAAAGGGCGTGGGCTAGCCCTGCTCCTCTCAATCTGTATTACCTCAGTCCATTTATTTAACCTCACTCTGCTTAACTTTAGTTCTCTCATCAGTAAAGTAGGATAACAATCAGACTGATAAGATCCCCATTTGGGGGGGGGATAAAGACACATTTGTAATACCTTAATCAATAAAAATTAAAAAAAAAGATCCCCACTGGGTACTGGGCCCAGGAGACATCCACATTCAACAGATTTGAGTCACCAAATACTTGAATGTCTCCTGTGTGCCAGGCACTGCACTGACCTCATGGGGTCTGGATATTCTCGTGTGTGGAAGGCAGGCAGACAGTAACCACATCCAGGCTCTGGGCATGAGTGCCTGGCAGGGATGGAGACTGACAGTGGGGGGTGATGGCTCTGTCTAGCAAGGTCTCTGGTGACATTCGAACAGACTCGACAGGCCACCCAGGGTCTCAGCTGGCAGCTGTCACCTGCGAGAGGAGAGTGCTTCTGGGCAACGTTCCCTGCAGTGGAATGGGTGTGGAGCTGGCTGGTGTTTGGGGAGTTTCTTGGTGGCTAAGGAAGTTTGCTCGGCGGAGCCCTCAGCCTCGCTCTGCTTCTTTCCCAGGGTTTAACTCCCTCGTGGGAGGCGTGATGGGCTTCTCTATTCTTCTGAGCGCGGAGGTGTTCAAGCATAACTCAGCGGTCTGGTACCTGGATGGCAGCACAGGTGTGCTCATCGGCCTTATCATATTTGCCTACGGGGTCAAGTAAGTGCCTGTTTTCCTATTTGCTTTCCTGGCATCCAAGAGTGTTCCGTTTTCCACCCCTGATGGTCATACCTTGTACCTGGGACCCCCCTGAGCCTACGTGGGGTCAGGTGACTGGAAAAGCTCACATCGGAATCAGAGAGTCTTGTGGCTGGCACTGAAGTGGGGCAAGGACTTTGACAAGAGGTATAGGCTTTAAGTCACAAACGGGCACCAGTGCTGGGCTGAGGACTCCTCATGACCTCTGGCTGTGAAAACCAGTAGGCATCTGAGTGAGATGGGGCTACTGGAGTCTCAAGCGTTCATCTTGAGGGGCCTGCACATGGACTTACGCACTCACGGACTCATTTCTCTGGGCTTCAGTGCAAGGTCAGCCGCTTGAAAAGTGCCAGGGACATCCAGGGAAAAACTGAATGGACTAGCTTCAGGCTAAGAAATAGCGCAAAAGGGTTCAGGCTCTTTTTCTACTTCAATGGAAAAGATCACATCCACGTTAAAACCCAACATTAATTCAAACAGCTCCGTCCAAACAGCGCATGCATGCTCAGCTGTGGTGATTCAACAGTAGC